AAACTTCTACAACTACGTATTCTCCCACAACTGAGACTACTACAGTAACAACTGAGGGAACCACTGAAAGCGAAGAAACTACCACTGAATCAGAGGAAACTTCTACAACTACTTATTCTCCCACAACTGAGACTACTACAGTAACAACTGAGGGAACCACTGAAAGCGAAGAAACTACCACTGAATCAGAGGAAACTTCTACAACTACTTATTCTCCCACAACTGAAACTACTACAGTAACAACTGAGGGAACCACTGAAAGCGAAGAAACTACCACTGAATCAGAGGAAACTTCTACAACTACTTATTCTCCCACAACTGAAACTACTACAGTAACAACTGAGGGAACCACTGAAAGCGAAGAAACTACCACTGAATCAGAGGAAACTTCTACAACTACTTATTCTCCCACAACTGAGACTACTACAGTAACAACTGAGGGAACCACTGAAAGCGAAGAAACTACCACTGAATCAGAGGAAACTTCTACAACTACTTATTCTCCCACAACTGAGACTACTACAGTAACAACTGAGGGAACCACTGAAAGCGAAGAAACTACCACTGAATCAGAGGAAACTTCTACAACTACGTATTCCCCCACAACTGAAACTACTACAGTAACAACTGAGGGAACTACAGATTGCGAAGAAACTACCACTGAATCAGAGGAAACTTCTACAACTACTTATTCTCCCACAACTGAGACTACTACAGTAACAACTGAGGGAACCACTGAAAGCGAAGAAACTACCACTGAATCAGAGGAAACTTCTACAACTACTTATTCTCCCACAACTGAGACTACTACAGTAACAACTGAGGGAACCACTGAAAGCGAAGAAACTACCACTGAATCAGATGAAACGTCTACAACTACGTATTCTCCCACAACTGAAACTACTACAGTAACAACTGAGGGAACCACTGAAAGCGAAGAAACTACCACTGAATCAGAGGAAACGTCTACAACTACGTATTCTCCCACAACTGAAACTACTACAGTAACAACTGAGGGAACCACTGAAAGCGAAGAAACTACCACTGAATCAGAGCAAACGTCTACAACTACGTATTCTCCCACAACTGAAACTACTACAGTAACAACTGAGGGAACCACTGAAAGCGAAGAAACTACCACTGAATCAGAGGATACTTCTACAACTACGTATTCTCCCACAACTGAAACTACTACAGTAACAACTGAGGGAACCACTGAAAGCGAAGAAACTACCACTGAATCAGAGGATACTTCTACAACTACGTATTCTCCCACAACTGAAACTACTACAGTTACAACTGAGGGAACCACTGAAAGCGAAGAAACTACCACTGAATCAGAGGAAACTTCTACAACTACCTATTCTCCCACAACTGAAACTACTACAGTAACAACTGAGGGAACCACTGAAAGCGAAGAAACTACCACTGAATCAGAGGAAACTTCTACAACTACCTATTCTCCCACAACTGAAACTACTACAGTAACAACTGAGGGAACCACTGAAAGCGAAGAAACTACCACTGAATCAGAGGAAACTTCTACAACTACCTATTCTCCCACAACTGAAACTACTACTGTAACAACTGAGGGAACCACTGAAAGCGAAGAAACTACCACTGAATCGGAGGAAACATCTACAACTACGTATTCCCCCACAACTGAAACTACTACAGTAACAACTGAGGGAACTACAGATTGCGAAGAAACTACCACTGAATCAGAGGAAACTTCTACAACTACCTATTCTCCCACAACTGAAACTACTACAGTAACAACTGAGGGAACCACTGAAAGCGAAGAAACTACCACTGAATCAGAGGAAACTTCTACAACTACTTATTCTCCCACAACTGAAACTACTACAGTAACAACTGAGGGAACCACTGAAAGCGAAGAAACTACCACTGAATCAGAGGAAACTTCTACAACTACATATTCTCCCACAACTGAAACTACTACAGTAACAACTGAGGGAACCACTGAAAGCGAAGAAACTACCACTGAATCAGAGGAAACTTCTACAACTACGTATTCTCCCACAACTGAAACTACTACAGTAACAACTGAGGGAACCACTGAAAGCGAAGAAACTACCACTGAATCAGAGGAAACTTCTACAACTACTTATTCTCCCACAACTGAGACTACTACAGTTACAACTGAGGGAACCACTGAAAGCGAAGAAACTACCACTGAATCAGAGGAAACTTCTACAACTACATATTCTCCCACAACTGAAACTACTACAGTAACAACTGAGGGAACCACTGAAAGCGAAGAAACTACCACTGAATCAGAGGAAACTTCTACAACTACATATTCTCCCACAACTGAAACTACTACAGTAACAACTGAGGGAACCACTGAAAGCGAAGAAACTACCACTGAATCAGAGGAAACTTCTACAACTACGTATTCTCCCACAACTGAAACTACTACAGTAACAACTGAGGGAACCACTGAAAGCGAAGAAACTACCACTGAATCAGAGGAAACTTCTACAACTACGTATTCTCCCACAACTGAAACTACTACAGTAACAACTGAGGGAACCACTGAAAGCGAAGAAACTACCACTGAATCAGAGGAAACTTCTACAACTACATATTCTCCCACAACTGAAACTACTACAGTAACAACTGAGGGAACCACTGAAAGCGAAGAAACTACCACTGAATCAGAGGAAACTTCTACAACTACGTATTCTCCCACAACTGAAACTACTACAGTAACAACTGAGGGAACCACTGAAAGCGAAGAAACTACCACTGAATCAGAGGAAACTTCTACAACTACGTATTCTCCCACAACTGAAACTACTACAGTAACAACTGAGGGAACCACTGAAAGCGAAGAAACTACCACTGAATCAGAGGAAACATCTACAACTACATATTCTCCCACAACTGAAACTACTACAGTAACAACTGAGGGAACCACTGAAAGCGAAGAAACTACCACTGAATCAGAGGAAACTTCTACAACTACTTATTCTCCCACAACTGAGACTACTACAGTAACAACTGAGGGAACCACTGAAAGCGAAGAAACTACCACTGAATCAGAGGAAACTTCTACAACTACGTATTCTCCCACAACTGAGACTACTACAGTAACAACTGAGGGAACCACTGAAAGCGAAGAAACTACCACTGAATCAGAGGAAACTTCTACAACTACTTATTCTCCCACAACTGAGACTACTACAGTAACAACTGAGGGAACCACTGAAAGCGAAGAAACTACCACTGAATCAGAGGAAACTTCTACAACTACTTATTCTCCCACAACTGAAACTACTACAGTAACAACTGAGGGAACCACTGAAAGCGAAGAAACTACCACTGAATCAGAGGAAACTTCTACAACTACTTATTCTCCCACAACTGAGACTACTACAGTAACAACTGAGGGAACCACTGAAAGCGAAGAAACTACCACTGAATCAGAGGAAACTTCTACAACTACGTATTCCCCCACAACTGAAACTACTACAGTAACAACTGAGGGAACTACAGATTGCGAAGAAACTACCACTGAATCAGAGGAAACTTCTACAACTACATACTCTCCTACAACTGAAACTACTACAGTAACAACTGAGGGAACCACTGAAAGCGAAGAAACTACCACTGAATCAGAGGAAACTTCTACAACTACTTATTCTCCCACAACTGAGACTACTACAGTAACAACTGAGGGAACCACTGAAAGCGAAGAAACTACCACTGAATCAGAGGAAACTTCTACAACTACGTATTCTCCCACAACTGAGACTACTACAGTAACAACTGAGGGAACCACTGAAAGCGAAGAAACTACCACTGAATCAGAGGAAACTTCTACAACTACTTATTCTCCCACAACTGAGACTACTACAGTAACAACTGAGGGAACCACTGAAAGCGAAGAAACTACCACTGAATCAGAGGAAACTTCTACAACTACTTATTCTCCCACAACTGAAACTACTACAGTAACAACTGAGGGAACCACTGAAAGCGAAGAAACTACCACTGAATCAGAGGAAACTTCTACAACTACTTATTCTCCCACAACTGAGACCTACTACAGTAACAACTGAGGGAACCACTGAAAGCGAAGAAACT